CCCAACAGCTCTCCTTGCAGTCAGGATTAGATCCGAGCCGGTCTCCTCATCTCCTCTGCCGCTGGCCCAGTCAGGGGCATGTGGGCTGAGTGGGGAGTGAGGCCGCCAGAGTCCTGAGGGCCCCCTTGCTGCTGCTTCTTGCTCCTCAGGCATTTCAGGAATGGTCTTCCTTTCCTCCCAGTGACTGCCATGGGCATCCCGCAGTGATCTCACTTCTCACCTTTGCCTCCTCACTATGGTGTTACCGCTGGGCCTGCCTGAGGGCCAGAAGGTGCCCTCACCCAGACATCTTGACGCCTTCACATGGGCCAGGTTGGCCATGGGCCCCACCAACTCCCAGGGTGCCCCAGAAGGTCTGGGAGGGCAGGTGTGGGGAGGGCCTGCAGACAAACCCAGAGTGCCTCAGAGGGACTTCAGGGCCCACTGGGAGACAGGGTGAGCACCCTGGCCACTCCCTGCTGTCTCTCAGTGGCTAAGGGAGGGCCTCGTCCTAATCATATGTGGGTGTGTGTATGCATATATACATGTATACACATATAATGGAAATATATAATTTATATCTTATATACAAAATATAAATCTACAATCTATGTAAAAGCATATTTTTACATAATATATGTGATATATATATTTGTGTGTTAGGCTGTTCTTAAGTTGTTATAAAGGAATACCTGAGACTGGGTCATTGATAAAGAACAGAGATTTAATTGGCTCTTGGCCCACAGTTCTGCAGGCTGTGCAGGAAGCATGGCACTGGCATCTGCTTCTCAGGAGGCCCCAGGAAGCTTCCAATCATGGTGGAAGGGAGCAGGTGGATCACATGGCCAGAGCAGGAGTGAGAGCGAGGGCGGGGGGAGGAGCCACACACTTAACCAGATCTTGTGAGAATCACTCACTACCGCGAGAACAGCACCAAGCCATGAGGGATTCTCTCCCATGACCCAGACACCTCCCATAGGTCCCATCTCCAACACTGGGGATTACATTTCAACATGAGACTTGTCAGGAACATATATCTAAACTATGTCTATATATATACAAAAATGCTATTATTGTTGATATGTTTTACAAGTGTATCATCCATTTTCATACTGCTATGAAGAAATACCCAAGACTGCATAATTTATAAAGAAAAAGAGGTATAATGGACTCACATGGCTGGGAAGACTTCACAATCATGGCAGAAGGCAAAGGAGGAGCAAAGGCACGTCTTACATGGCAGCAGGCAAGAGAGCCTGTGCAGGGGAACTGCCCTTTAGAAAACCATCAGATCTCCTGAGACTTACTATCATGAGAATAGCATGGCAAAAAACCCACCCCCATGATTCAATTACCTCCCACTGGGCCCCTCCCACAACTTGTGGGGATTATAGGAGCTACAATTCAAGATGATATTTGGGTGGGGACACAGCCAAATCCCATCAACAAGTTACTTTTTTCTCCTCAATTTGTATTTAAAGCCCTCAACTCAGAGCAGCCAGACTGGGCAAACCCATTCTTCCTCGTCTCTGCTGACTAGTGAGGCAGGAGCAGAGCATGGCAGGAGGCCCAGCTACTGCGGTCAGAAAGCCAGGCTTACCGGACCACCTGTGTTTCTAGATCCTTCTCTTTCAAAGACACGACCATCAGTTTGAAGGAGAAACACATTCCTTGTGGGAGCAGAGAGAAACTGCTTAATGGGTGAGGGGTTTGGCTTTGGAGCGATGGAAATGTTTTGGAACTAGGTGGAGGTGGTGATCGCACACCATTGTGAATGTTCTAAACGCCTCTGAATTGTTCACTTTAAAATGGTTAATTTTATATGAATTTTTAAAGACACTTCCCTCCCTGCTTAGATCTTCCCGGTTCCTAGAAGTGATTCCCGGGCTTCTTCCATCCATGGCTTTCATCTCCAGCAGCAGCAGGTGGGAGTCGCGGTGAGCAGAGTCCCCAGGTCCTGAGAGAGGGTAGGCTCGTGCCCCAGGCTGAAGCCCCCTACCCAGTTCCACAGCAGCCCTTCCTGTCCAGCACAGCCCATGAGCCCCTGCCAGGCCCTGCCCCTGGTCTGAGAACCTGAGATGCAGAGGTGACTCGGACATGGAAAGGAGACACAGGCCTGGTCAGATCCCAGGGAGGGCCTCAGGGAAGTTGCGCTGCAGGGGAGGCGCTCAGAAGACTGGGAAGGACAGCCAGGGCGCAAGCATAGGGGAAGAAAGGGGATGGGCAGGACAGAAAGAAGGTCAGGTGCAAGGGGCAGGGCCTTCAATGCCAGTCAAGACCCTGTCTTGGAAATCCTGACCTTCTCTGTCCTTTGGAGGCACAGGCAGTACTGACAGCGTCTGACCAGGGAGGCCCCTCATGGGCAGAGCCCCCCTTCCCCTCTGCTGTCCCCAGTACTTCCCAGCTCCCTCAGTTCTTAGTGTCATCAGGTCTGTGCACATCACCGTCCCACCTTTTAAACACATAGGTTCCCTAGACATACGGTGACATGTAGGTAGAAACAACTGTCACCAGTGAGAGGCAGTTCTTCACCCCCAAATACTAATAAGGTCTTTAAAACATCAGAGGCAGAAAGCCTGGGGGGTGACTGGCACGTGCGTTCTGCAGGGGAATAAGGAAGCAGTGGTCTCCAGCTTGCTGGTGTGTGCAGAGGCTCAGCTCGCTGAGAAACCCCCCCAGCGTTCGGACCTGTGCTTGTGAGCACTCACGATTTCCAGGGCCTGTGCGCAGTGCCTGGGTGTGCAGGGAAGACTCTGCTGTGGTCCCTGCTGTCTGTCTAGCAGGCAAGAGAAGCTGTGGAAGAGGTGGGTGTGTGCAGAGAGCGGGAATTGAGGACCGTGACAGGTGGAAACAGTGGGCTTCAGGACTTCAGTGGGGAGGTCAAGTAGCCTGTACTATCTAGAGCTTTGGGGTCACTACCTGTGTGACCCCAGCAAGCACTGACTTCTCAGAGCCTCTGCTTCCCAGTCTCTAAAATGATCAGAAGTGTTAGGAGTTCCTGGCCCCTCTCAGCAGCAGCGGGAAGGGCAAGGAAGTCGGGTAGCGTGTGGGGGCAGCGTCGGGCAGGCGGTGATGGAGGCTGGTACACTTCTTCCTGGATATCGGTGGGACTGGGCTCGGCCCCTCCCTAGAAGGCTTTGTGGCTCTTCAAGGCTCCTTTATTCACGGCTGAACTTTTTCATCTGTGAAGCAGCACACTTGCGTAGGTGCTCAGAGTTCACGCACAGGTCCGAATGCATGATACACTGAATGAGATTGTTTGGGGCTTTTCCTGTGCCCCGCTTTCTGAGGAAGTGTCGCCCTGTTAGGGCCCTTTATCCAGTCTCTTCCCACAGCTCACAGCAGGTTGCCGGCACCACCTGAGATGGAGAAGGCCTCTGACCAGGAGTCTCTGAGTCCAACAGCCACACTGGACAGCGGCCCTTCCAAGCAAGCAGGGCTCAGGGAGGGCAGCGGCTGTAGTCAGCTGTGCCGTTTCTTCTTCATGCTGACCTAAGAACGTTTCGTTTCTTTCCTTCCCTAAAATAAGTGTGAACATAGCTTTGTTAGGTTTTATTTCTGTATGAACATAGCACGAGCCGTTCGTCTTCTCCTGCTGACTGGGGAGGATCTGTCCCAGGTTCCTTTTCCTCCTCTCATGTCCTTGCCCCCTGCTTTGCTGCTTTCCGCTTCTGCTACTCTCCTTTGTTAGGACTGAAAAAAAAAATGACCACTTAGGTTCCAGAGAAGTCATTCCAGGAGACAATGGGGGGAGCAAAGATTGTCGCTCCCGGAAGCCCACTCACCAAGGCTTCTACTCTGCTCACTCCGTTCTCCCTGAAACCAGAGTAGAAGGGTACCTCAGGGTACAGCCACCCCTGACTACGGGGCTCCCCGTCCCTGCACCACAACCAGGTCCTGCACTGCGGCGGCCAAATTGGGCCCCTGTGGGTTCCCAACTCCACCCAGCCCTGAGGAAGCAGCCAGCACTGGAGAGGCCCGCCACTGTCCCAGCAGCTGCGTGGCCACCGCATTGGCACTGAAAGTGCCTGCATCATGCCTCGTCCAGTGTGACCTGATCCTTGGCATGGCAGGATTTCCAGTCCTGGTGTGGCACCAGAGTCCTCCTCTCTGAGGTTATAATTCGTAGAGGAGCACTCACTCATAGAGGCACACCCTGGGTCGTTTTTGTGTGCTTTTGACAGCGATGCCCTGGGGCAGGGTGGAGGGAGGGGCGGCTACAGAAAAGAAACCGTGCCTCAGAACCACGGCCCTGGACCCCTGGTTTTTCCATTCACTCCATCCTGTTCCATGCTCTTTCTCTCACATCCTGTTAAAATTGAGTGCACTGGTGAGCCTGGAGTAAGCCCTCGACGCCCTGGGTCTGAGTGACTGAGAGCGACAGTGACTGTCGCCCCCACCTGCCAAGCACCCACTCTGTGCAGCGCCGGCCCGGTGCCCCACACACTCCACTTCCGATGCGCAGGCACCCTGGCGTGTAGGCGGCGCCGCCTTTGTCAGTGTAACTTCAGTTGCTCATCTGCAGTCACCAGCTGGGATTCAAACCCAGCCAGTCTGACTCCTGAACTCCTCTTTCCTCCCACTCAGACTTTCCCACCTTAGAGAATGTCTAATGCACGTGCTCACTGCTTCGTCTCCGCACAGCCTATCCCTGCCAGCTCTGTGTCACCTTCATTCGGCTGCCAGCCCCTGGTGACTTCCCAGTTACAGATCAGAGAGCAGACTCCAGGGTGGAGAGTGGGGGTTCTAGACCAGCCCCTCTCAGCTCCTAGAGCTCTTGTCTACACAACTGCCTGGTGCTCAGGGTGTGATGAGGCACCTGCCTCTCTCAGTAGGTTGTATGTCCCGGCAGCAGGGGTGGGACCTGTCCTCTCCCATAGCTCCCGCACACCTGTGCTGGGTGTCACCTGGCTCCGTCCTGTGACACATTCATATTCTCTGTGTCGATGTCTTCAGTTGCTGGACATCTAAATGCCATCCTCAATACCTTTAATGCCATCCTTTTTTTTCTTCCTTTGCAGCAATGGATGGTGTGCCTTTCATGATTTCAGAGAAGTTTTCTTGTGTTCCAGAAAGTGTAAGTTTTATGCATGATTGCCCTTCCCCTTTGCCACCCTCAGCTTGAGGTCCCTGCATCCTGATTTACATGGCACGCAGGGCTGTTCTGGCGGCACTCACGCTCCCTCCCCGGAATCTTGTCAGCCTGCATGTCCTCTCTCCTGCTGGAAGCTGAACCCCACAGCCCCGTGACAGTGACTCCCGAGGTTGGGGGTGGGCCATGTGCATCTCTGGCCCTATCAGCCAGCACCCCATGTAGTAGATGTTTCAGAAATGAAGAAAGCAACAGCTGAGGGATGGGAAAGGAGCAGGAGGCTGTCAGACAAGCTCGGGAGGCTGTGGAGCCGAGCCTTTTCCCTGCCGCATGTGATTAACTCGACCTGAGCTTCCCCGTTTGTGAATGTTCTTTGTCTCCCAAGTCCAACTTAGTATATTTTGTTCTTATTTGAGGATGACAGTTTCCTGTCGAAAGGAGGCTTCCTTATTTTCCCACTGTCATGGCTGCATCCCACCCTCTGACATGGGGGTGCCATGCACATGTGGTGCCTCTAGCCATGGTCTCCTGCCCACATCAGGCAGCGTGGACCTCACCCTCCACATCCACACTCTCACGCAGGCCAGGCCCACGCCACCTTTTTGTCAGAGGGACCGAGTGAGCTGGCTGGGACCGTGAGGGGCGCCCATCCTGCTTGGCAGTGGGGTCTCTGTACCAGGCCACAGGCTCTGCCTGGCACTGCTAGGGTCAGCCCTCCGATGGCGCCAGCCCCCAAGGTGGCAGTGGCCCCCTCCCAGCCCTGCAGGCTTGGCCCACGCTGGCTCAGAAAACCCGTTTCTGGTTTTGATCCTTTCTGCAGAAGTTGGCCTTGAGCAGCTAATAAACGTGAAGGCCCCAGCTTGGGCACAGCTAAAGAATCCTTCAGTGTTTTTCTTGGATCCAGCTTAAAAACCACCCGGCTTGCGATTTGACCTGCTCTGTAGTTTCCATTTTCGTGAAATAGAATAGGCCTCCTCTGAACCCTTCTGGTAAGCAGCTTAATCTTGAAAAATGCTTGTGACGTGCGGAGCTCCAGGAACTTCAGCCGACTCCACGGGGCCGCGTTGCCATGGCGACGCTGGCGCCTCTCCCGCCGTTCCCTGGGAGAGGCTGCTCTGTCCTTTGCACCAGCTCCAGTTGGGAGAGTTTAGCGGGGTGGTTAGAGCCTAATGGCACAGCAGCTGCACCTCTGCTGGGTCCCAGGCATTGCGGGCAGGCGGCCCCACTCTCGAGCCCCTCGGGCTGGCAGCACAGACAGCACCACACTGTTCCGTGGCTGCCGGCAGAGCAGCCGCGAGCGGAGTGTCTGACTCGGTGGCCCCGTCCCAAGACCGCCCTCGCGAATGTGCTGCTGCCGCCTGGCCAGGACTCCAAGGCCACAGACAACCAAGCCCAATGCCCTGCGCTCCCCACTCTTCTCAGTGCAGCGCCCTGCAGCCCCCGCCAGGGGTGCCGCCGCTTTCAATGGGCGAGGAAATGAGGAAGGGATTTAATTCGTGGCTGCATCGCGAGGAGGCGAGGAGGCTAGTTTTGAGTCTGGGTCCTCGGACTCCAGAGCCAGCCTCACAGGAGATCCCTGCTGGCTTGGCGGAGATTCCAGCTCCACTCCCACCCCTGGCTACCGCCCTTCAGGACCCTGAGGGCCGCAGGGTTCTGTCAAAGGCCTTCATTCTTAGCCTGGGCCCCAGGAGGCTACGCCAGGGACCTGGAGTATACAGAACACTCGTGTGCCCAGCAGGGACTCTCAGACCAGGAGCCACGTGGACTGGGTGCCCTCTGCCCTCGGAGCCTTTGAGTCCAGGCTTCTGTGGGCCTCCTGCTCACTCACCGCCATGTGTCTTTGATTTTTCATGCTGTCTGTTGAAAAGCCAGCATTTTTTTTAAGTCTCTAATCTTCATGAAAGTATAAAAACTCTCATTAAAATGCAGTGTTATCATTTTTACCACATTGATTTCTCAAATGGTCATTGATGGGCAGTTGTTTCATTTACCTGGCATTTCTGAAGACCTGGAATCCGCCCCAGCTCCTGCCCTGGATTCCCCCTGAGGACCTCCTCCTCCCTGGAGTCCCTTAGACCTCCTGCCTTACCCAGACACAGTGGCTGGGTGGCCTCCGGGGAGAACTTGGGCACCTGCGGTTTACAGCTGCAGTGAGAAAGAGCAAACCTTGCCTGTGTGTTCTGCTGGCAGGGGGTGAAGAGGGGAAAAGCGGGCTAGCCACAGCCAGTCCTCCAGGAGACCTGGGCCCTGCCAAGTGCCACAGACAACAACTAGGCAGAGGTCCTGCAGCACAGGGGTTGGCACCTCGAGGGCCACATTCCTGCTGCAGGCCTTCATAACTCCTCCTGCTACCCCCACGCATGACTGAGAGTCCCACTGACGGTCTTCCTGTAGAAAGTGGGTGGGGAAACGCTGGATCACACCATGGTTGGAGATGTTGCCATTGCCATGCATAAAAGTACGTGTGGGAGGAGCATTTTCCAGCCATTTAAATGGGTGACTTCATCTGTGTTTTCAGATGCAGCCCTTTGATCTCCTGGGAATCACCATCAAATCTCTAGCAGAAATTGAAAAAGAGGTAAGCAAGCCATCGGGGAGGGGAGGTCTGGGCCATTGCCCACACTCCGGGGTCTCTCGTGTTCCCCTAGGGATCCACTCCAGGGGAGGGACAGGTAGAAGCGTCCCTTTCTCTTCTGAGGAAAACACTTTCGTTTCACTGAAATGTGTGTCTTAGATAAAGTAGCTCAATTCTAATGTATTTCCTGCTTCCAGTCAAATATGACCCACAGCTTGTCTTGTCTAAGTCAGAAGGTTTTACATAACAGACAGAGCCGTCAGTTCTCCTTTCTGAAAAGGAGTCTCAGCTTTGGGACGGTGTAGGTTGGAGGACAGGCACCAGGTCGACTTTTCTTCCTCTGTTTCCTTTATTATTTGCCACCAGGAGGGGTTTTGGGAAATGACCGAGCCTCTCCACAATTTAGGGGCGTGTCAGGGTACCTTCCGCCGTGCTTCCTAAGCTGGAATGCATCTGGCAGCCTGGTTCCAAACAGTGCGCACCGTTTCCTCATAAAAAAGAAAGCAAGCTGGGACTGGTGTACGGATGACAACTCTGAGGAAAGGGGGTTGAGATGATGGAATCAAACTGGAGTCAGACCACCGGGGCCTCCTGTTTCCCTAAGACAGCACAGGGCGTGTGGCTTCCCTTCTGCAGAGCGGGTCACACGCCACTGGCAGCCGTCCTCCAAGAGAAGCATTCATCTCAAAGATGGAGATGGTAGAACCATTTCAATATTCTCCGTTCCTTGGGGTTTTCTCCTGTGTACCCAGCTAGCAGAAGCAGGCTGCATTACTGAAAGATGGCTGAAATCAAGCAAAATTGAATCAATGTAGTACAACAAATTTCTAAACCTGTCATAGCAAAAATAAGACAAAAAAGTCCCCCTTTGTCCTCGATTTTCGGTATATCACAAAAACCAACCTGATTGTCATATATAGATTTTTTTTCTTTTTTTCTTGATTACGTGGGGAAAAAAATGGCTGGCTACAACATTAGAAACAAAGGTGTGCCTAGAATTTCGTGTCTGCCTTTCTCAAAGCAAGGGAGCCCACAGGGCCCTGCGTGGGGGGCATCCCAGGGAATGTGGGGAAAGCCTCAGAAGGGCTGCTGCTGCCACAGGTGTTCTCCAGGGCAGCGGCCACACTGATATACCCCGGACCAGCCCCCCTCCACCACAGACAGGGGCAGGTCACTTCCCCACCGTTTGCCATGGGATTGCAGCAGAGCCTGTCTCACAGGTGCTCTATGATGCCAGCTGGATGCAGGTGTGATGTGCTGGCAACACGGGCCCCAGCATCCCGCCATCTCCCCTCCCGTTCTGCTTGGGCTGCCTGTGGGCCTCACAGTGGCACTGTTTAAGCACCTGCCGTGTGCTCAGCTTGGGGCCTGAGGCTTTACATACATGATCACTGGCTCCCACCCCAGGCCTCATTCCTCCGTATGTCATGGGTCAAAATTGAGACTCTGAGATGAGGAGTAACTGGCCTAAGACGAAATGGAGACCCAGTTTGCTGTGCTCCAAATCCTCTCCACTGTGACGAAAAGAGGCAGCTCTGTGTCCCTCCAAGGGGGCTCTCTAGGCCGATGGGGACAGTGGGATCTGGGAGGCCAGTCAACCTGGTTCCCAACCCTGGGTGGGCCTTTGAGGTACTGGGGTAGGGTGAGGTGGGTGAGGGTCCCAGTGTGGGGCCCAGGGCGAGTGGTGGGAACCCTGTAAACTTTCATTCCCTTTCCCACTCTAAGGACTGAAATCTGCGTTTCATTACAGTGTAGTGTCACAGTGTGGCCACCCCCAGGAGATGCAGAGCCAGGGTGGAGATGCACTCTGGAGTCAGTGCCTGGCTAGAATCTCAGATCTTCCACTGACTTTTCTGAGCTGATGTTTCTTTTTATACACAATCAGGATAGTAATAAAAGTGCTTAGTCCAGAATCTATGTGGGTTTAACTGAGAAGGTCCAGTGAATGATGGCCTGAACCAGTGCCTGCCTCAGTGGCTGCTGGCTGCCACCTGATCACAGCCACCACCATCACCATCATTACCATTCTCCTTGTCCACAGAGAAGGACATGAGTCAGCACAGGCCCACCCATTCCACCATCCCGCTGCTCTGTTGCTGGGGCCGAAGCGCCATCCCTGTGGACCAAGGCCAGCTGTGTTTTATGGGTTTAGTGGCAGGTTAAAAAAACAGGCCTGGCCCAGGTGCGATGGCTCATGCCTGTAATTCCAGCACTTTGGAAAGCTGAGGCAGGCAGATCATATGAGGCCAGGAGTTTGAGACCAGCCTGGCCAACATGATAAAACCCCATCTCTACTAAAAATACCCCCAAAAAAGTAGCCGTATGTAGTGGCACTTAGCCAGGTGTGGTGGTGCACACCTGTAGTCCCAGCTGCTCGGGAGGCTGAGGCAGGCAAATCTCTTGGGCCGGGGAGGTGGAGGTTGCAGTGAGCCGAGATCGCATCATTGCACTGCAGCCTGGGGGACAGAGCGAGACTCCGTCTCAAAAACAAACAAAAAAACAGGTCTGTATTTGCTATTGAAGTAAATTAAAGTCAATGTAAAGAAATGTAGGGAATGGGGAGAGATTAGAACCTTAAACAGGTTGGAAAACCATAACAAGTATCTCTGTAGTCAAGAGCACCACAGAGTTTTTATTTAACCTGAGGATTTAAAAGTTCCTTTTACCAGCCATTTGCCTGCTCGTGCTGCTGATGTCCACACACTCGGGCCAACTGGCTCCTTCCGCGGTGCTGACTGAAGCTTTTCCCCAAAAATAAACCTGAAGTTGCTTGTTTTAGCCACTGATCTCGGCATTGCTCGTGGGAGTTGGAGGCCCAAGGAGAAGTGGTGCCCGGAGCCAGGGCGACTGGCTGTCACTCCTGGGCTCTGCGTGTTTGGCCCTGGAGCGGGCTGGGTGTCCCCTGGGTCGGGGTGAGTTTGATTTTGTGCTTTCCATTTAGAACAGGTCTGGCTGCCCTTGGTGTGGAGCCTGGGGGTAGAGAAGTCTCTGCTCAGACATTTGCTTTGCTCACTGTAAACCTTTGTATTTTATACCATTAAACAAACAAACAAACAAGAGTGGAGTAAATACAGTGTGAGGCTGCTTTCGGGTTCAGGGGCACAGGCCTGTGCCCGTGCCTCCTGCTCATCCAGAACAGCTCCCCAGGCTCGCATGGATTCCCAAACAGGGTGGAGAGCCCGGCACCCAGGGAGAGCTGCTCCGTGCTGGGCAGGTGCTTCCCTTCGTGACCCCTCCGCACCCATGGAGGAAGTGGGGCCCACCCATTTACAGGAGAAGTCTGGACTCCAGAAGTTAAGCAACCGGCCAGACTCCCACAGCAGCGGCCCAGAGCTGAACAGGGGCCGAGTGTGACCCTGGCTGAATGTGTGATGGTCTTCATCTAGTAAAGAGCAGTCCCACCTTGAGGGGAAACGGAAGTGTGAGCCTGAGGCAGCACTGTCCTGTCAGTCCAGAGCCTTCTGCCTGCATTAACTGTCCTCGCCGGGCCCTGCCTGAGGGAAGTTTCTGAATTGAAGCCCAAGCAAAATTGCCACCATTCAGCTTCAGGGACAGTCACCCTCCAACAAACCCCGTGACCCTGTGCACTCTGAGCATGGAGGTTAGGGCTGTGGGCAGCCACAGGGAGCCCCCCAGAGCCAGTCAAGCAGAGCTGCCCCACCCCCAGCAAGGACACAGATGGCCTGAGCCTGCCAGGCCCACGAACTGCCTGGCATGGATTGACAGGGTGTCACCTGGTTGTGGGTGGGCAGTGTCCCTCAGCCCCAGCATCCTGAGGAGCCCTGGGGAGCGTGCGCTGCTGGGCCCAACAGCCAGGCCACCCGGAGAACAGGAAGGGGAACAAGCCCACTCAAGAACGCTGGTGCCCGCAGGTACCCTTATGGGCTGCGTAGACACAGCCTCCCAGTGTGGATGCCTGGGGTAGGGGACAAATCTGCCATCTAGATTTGGCTCTGGGGCAAGTTCCCAGGCCCCCTCACCCCAAATGGGAGCACAGGCCTGCTCGTCCCAGCACAGCGCACAGCGCACAGCGCAGGGGTCAGGGCACCCAGCAGCTGCCCTGCTTTTCACCAGGGTCTCCACAGGAGTCGTACCTGATGCACTTGGGTGAAGTTTCATGAGAAACGCCCAAGGATGGTCATATTTTAAAGCTAAAATCAATGTATTCGCCATTGAGCAAATTTTGAAGAAAAGGATCTTTGAAAGACAAAACCTCTCGGATGTGCTTCCATGATGGCGTGGGTGGGCGAATGTGAAGGAAGCCGTGATTCACAGAGGAATTCCCACTCGAACACCTGCCAGCTCCCCGTGACAGAGCGGCAGCCTCCTGCCTGGCCCGTGTCTTCCAGCAGCCCTGTGTTCCTGCCTCCTCTGTCACCTCGCACCCAGAGCAGGGGCTTCCTCGTCCTCCCAGGGCTCGTGTATATCAGCCCCAGGCATGAGGAAGTGAATTTAGGTGACCAGGGACTGGCCAGTGGCAGCCTCGTGGCCACAGGGGGCAGTTTTCTGGCCCTGGCCCCATCTGTCCCTGCTCTGCCCTCTCCCCTTCAGTTTGGCTCTGCAGGAGGGCAGTGGGCGACCCAGTGGGGCTGTTGTCCCAGTGAAGCCCTTACGGTTCTCCCTGCTGCCCAGACAAAAGGCTGTCTGTGTCCCAGAGCCTGGAAAGTGTAATTTCGCAGCCAGCACCCATGATGAAGCATCTTCTCTGGGCGTGAGGAGATGGGCGTATAAATATTCTCTGTCTCTGCCGCTCTTTATTTCCCTGGTAAGCAGTTGCCCCATTTCTCCAGCTGATGGATTCCCCATCGCAGCCAGGGTGGGAGCTCCCTGGCTCTGCAGTCCAGGCAGCAGCTTCTAAAATCATCCTCGTGTCTTGGTTACCTGTGTATCCTCCCACCCCCCCCCCCATGATCCTGCCCTGGCCTACCTGGCAGACCTCAGCGTCACAGCCAGGAGGCAGCAGCCTTGGGTATAGGTTTCATGCCGTGTGCATAATTACCGGCAAGCCTTGTGAGAACAGGAGTGAACCACTCCTGCAGTGACAGGGCACCAGGCAGGGGAGAAGTCCGGAGCAACTTCCAGCCCCGTGCACAGCTGTTTCTACCAGCTGCTAACCTCAGCAGAAACCACCATGCTCCCCATTCCCTTCCGGGGGTGCTACCGTCAAAACCTCGGCAGAGGAAGCACTCGTCAGCCTGCCGCACTCCTAGTGGAGCAACAGCCTCCATTTTCATTCGACTTTAAAGCTGAAAGATGAGGGAGGGCCTAATTAGTAAACGGACGCTCTAATATTAATCACCCCCTTAAAATTGACAAGGGAGGCAATTCATTTAACCACTTAATTGCTGCAGGTTTTTATGGGCTGCTGTTTGCAAACATTTAATGAAGAAGTTATAAATCTAAGGGAGCTTACGATTTTAATTTTATACCTAAATATTTTCCTTGTTCTCATGTTTGTAGTCAATCCTCAAGAGTGTAGTCACGTGGAATGTTCTTTAAATGAACATATTTGCTAACTGGCATGATTTCAGTTTTTAAAACATTGGTTCCAGCAATTAGGCATTTTTTTCAGTTCCCAAATGACTAGAGAAATTCGTCTTGATTATAATTGCTCTTAGCCACGCATATCTAATTTGTGTCTTTTTAAGTGTTAATTAGTAAACAGTTTGAGCTGACATCTTTATGTGTTTGTGCGTTGAAAAATGGGGCTTATTGCTTATTTAGCTTGGGGCCGATTCCACTAACATTTACGTCACGACATTGAGGTGGAATTAATGAAAATGCATTTGGCAGCATGAGGTAAAAAGGATCTTTAAATTCAACTTTTAGATGTCCGTGTTGCCTGGGCCTCTGCCAGTCTCTTCAAATATACGAGGTTAGCGTAGATTTGGGACCTGAGTCCAGCAGGAATAAAGTGAGGCAGATTTTTGTATCAATAATGAAATGGCAGCGTCCCAATTTTATAAAAGCAAAATGTACCTATTCCCGCACAATTGTTCATTCTTTCTACTTTGGAAAGCTTTCCTGGTGCTTATTAAATGTTGAAGAATTTTTGTGGCGTGAACGGGTGCAGCCTGAAAATGTGTGATCCCATAGCACCATCTAGTGGTAGGATCTTAAACTGCAGCAGGAAATAAGGTACCTTTTCTCTGCTTATGAGATTCAGCATTTCACCACCCAGAATCCTTGTTATTTCTTTATTTTTCGGTCAGGAAACTGAAATGTTTGGGGAAAAAAAACCTGACTGCCTCAGATATTAGAATTTAGGTAAATAAATAGGAGCCAACCTGTTCTGCTCTCTTTTTTGATGTATTGCTAAAAGAAACAACACTGCCACCCAAATTCCTACAGAGGTGTCCCACTGAGCTAATTCCAGCCCAAAAGAAAGAAACCTAATGAATTGGTGAAGTAGATGGCCTTGCAGAAATCATGAGAGAAGTCTTGGGCTTCTTTTCAAACACAGGATAGAGCTTGGAACCACCGCTTCATAGACCCTGCAAGCGCCTGACCACAGCGTAGGAACCAGTTTTATGCCACAGACAAGATTAATTCTCTTCCCATAAATTGTGGAGGTTCTTTTGCACAGTTTATCATTGTAAGCAACTCCCCTGCCGATCAAAATTGATTTTTTAAATATTTAGTGTTTTCCTGAGTACCAAGGTTGTCCATGTTTATAAAAATGCAGACATTACAGGAGCATGTAAAAGGTGAACCTCCCCCTCCATCCACTCCTGGGGCACGTGCACACATACGCACCCACACACAATGTTCAGCAGGCTCATGCGGTATTGCCACCCGCCACCGGCCTCTGCACTCTAGTGTGTCTTACATGTCTTCGCATGCTGCCTTACAGATCTGCCTTATTCCTTTTAATGACTACATGCTGTTCCCTTTTATGATTATGCCATAATTTATCTAAGGAACCCACTATTGACTGACTTTTGAGGTGTTCCCAATTACTCACCATTACACCGCTGCAATGGATTTCCTTGTGCACGCTCCCTGGCTCCCCTGGGTCTTTCCCTGGAGGAGGATGGATGTTACCAATTGCCTTATGAACACGGCAGGGCTGTTGGAAGTCCCACCAGTGGTGCCTGAGGGGACCTTTCCTCACATCTTTACCCCAGCTAAGACTCACTGGGACCTTAATGTGTCCCTCTGTTTAATTGATTAATCTTTGCTTATTTTGGCCAGGTGCAGTGGCTCATGCCAATAATCCTCACACTTTGGGAGGCCAAGGCGGGAGGATCACTTGGGCCCAGGAGCTTGAAACCAAACTGGACACCATAGCTCGACCCCATCACAATAAAAATAAAAGTAAGCCAGGCGCGGTGGCTCCTGCCTTTATTCCCAGCTACTCAGGAGGAGGCTGAGGTAGGAGGATCACTTGAGCCCAGGAAGTTGAGGCTGCAGTGAGCTATGATTGTGCCACTGCACTCCAGCCTGGGTGACAGAGAGAGACCCTGTCTCTTAAAAAAACAAAAAAATCTTTGATCGTTCTTCAAGTTGAACCCGTCTTCAGATGCTTATGAGCACCATGTCCTCCGCGGAGCCCCTTCCGCTTGCGCCCTGCGCAGTTGCTTTCTATCAGCTTCTGCAGCTTTTGCATCGCTTTTTTAAGCAGTCATTATGTTTTCAAGAAAGCGACCTTTTCTCTCTAAGCTCAAATACACGTACTTTAATCAGTGTCTTTTCACCTTGTAAATGATGTGTTCTGCTATACAAAAGTTTCAAAGTGTTCATGGGCAATTTTGTCTTTGTTTAATTTTGGGGTTGGTGTCATAGTTCGAAGATTATAAAAACATTCACCCCTATTTTCCCTTATGTTATATATTAAAATATTAAATACTTTTCAACTACTTAACCCATCTGAAATTTATTAGAAGGTAAGAACTACAGACAGCTTTATTTTACCCTAAAACATTAGCCAGTTTTCTTAATAATGGCAATCTTTCTTTGACACTTAAATGCTACTTTTATCATATATTTTCATATGTAAGTGAACATTTTTCTTGATTCCGTTCTGCTATGTTATTCTATTTTTATGTTATTACCACACTATTTTGAATCTTATAGCTTTGTAGTAAGTTTTAATATAACGTAGGATTCGTTCTCTCTTTTTTCCGAGAACTTTACTAATTGTACTCACAGGACTATTCTTCCAGTTGAACTTTAGCATCTTGCAGGGGAAGGAAGTTCCAAAAAGTCCACTCTAGATTTTTATTGGAACTACGTTGAGTACATGAATGAATAGAATAGTAATTGGTATCTTAGATCAAGCGTCTCTCCATCCAGAAACAAAGGAAGCCTCTTGTTGGCCCGGGTCTTGGTCATTTCTCTTTAGGTCATTCCTAGGTGCTTTATGTCTTTGTAGTGCATGTGAACAAGATCTTTTCATTCTATTTTCTGCCACTTGTATATAAAGAAACCACTGACTTTTGTGTATTATTTCTGGAGCTAGCTCTCCCACCGGCTTCCCTTACTGTTTCTGCTGGCTTTCCAGCTGCGTTTCGTCGGTTCCCCCGGCAGGCAGTTGCGTCGCCTGCAAATGCTGAGGCCTCCATCCTGGCAAGCCTTGCTCCTCTTCCTGTGCGCCGTTGTCTGACACCTCGGCAGGGACTTGCAGGTCCCAGGCCTCCTTATTTCATCCATATTTTTCACGGAAGTTTGTAGTTTCAATATTGACCCGTAATGCTGCGTTTTGACTTGCTATTTATAGACGTTGTCTCTCTCTCCCTTTTTTTTTTTCATGTTAAAGTGTTAGCGATCTATTTCTATTTTCATAAATGTTTTTATCAGAAATGGATGGTGGCTTTTGACAAATGTGTTTTAATCATCCATTGAGATGATCATATTTTTCTCCCCAGGCATATTAATATGGCAGATTGTATTAACAGAGTTCCTAATTCTGAGAGTCTTGGAGGCCCCCGTCCCCCACTTTGGGTCTTGTCAGCGGCCAGCGTCGTCATAGCAGCCGCCAGCACCGCACAGGTCGCTCCTGGGGTGGCCCCAGGCACCCATCATGTGAGTAAGAGAGCCAGGCTGAGCCTGTAGAAGTGAAGTGAAGCAGGATGCTGTTTGCTAGCCAGAACCACCTGCCCTGGTTACCGTTGTGAGTCGTACCTGCTCATGCAGAATTGAAATTGAGGTAGACACCTAGTCTTTTGCAAGTCCTTCAGAGAAGGATTTTCCTATTCTTTTCGGATTTCTGGGAACTTTCGTACCTTAAGTTTGGGGTAAAGTGGTACCTATAAAGAGGAACATGTGGAAGGCTGCCTGGTATGTGTGTAAAAATAAGCATGAAGACAGAGGGTGGGGAGGGCACCTTCCCAGAGTGCCCCATGCTCTCACCCACCCAGGAACCCGTGCTGGCAATCAGTGTAGTTTTAAATCTGTCCTATAAATAATCCAGAAGAGGAGAAATACAGAGTCCCGCTTTTTAGGTGGTATTCGGGTGAATTCTAAAATGCTGTCTCAATGACCAGGGAGCTCCCCAGGGTTGCTTACAGACACCAAAATAGCATTTGGGCCAGACGCAGTGGCTCACGCCTGTAATCCCAGCACTTTGCCAGACCAAGATGAGTGGATCGCTGGAGCCCACCCATCTCAAACCCACAAGCTCGAGACCAGCCTGGGCAACATGGCAAAATTTCATGTCTAAAAAAAATACAAAAATTAGCCAGGTGTGATTGTGCATGCTTGTGGTTCCAGCTACTGGGGAGGCTGAGGTGTGAGGATCACTTGCGTGCAGGAGGTCAAGGCTGCAGTGAGCTGAGACTGAGCCACTGCACTGCAGCCTGGATAGCAGAGTGATCCTGTCTCAAAAAAAATAATGATTGATTAATGGATAGATGGATGGATGGATGAAGGGAAAAGGGGGAAAATTGAAAAAGGAAGAGAGAAATAGCATTTACTCAGTGGGCAGAGCATCTGACAGTGCACAGCCCCACCCAGAGCCCCACTCAGAGCAACACAGCTGGACACACAGGTGCCACAGCCAGTGAGGGGTTGGGGAGAGCGAGGCATGTTTTCATCTTTGTTCATCCTGCAGCCGTCTTCATTTCCACCACAAAATGTGCTGTCTCCCTTTTTAAAAAAAAAAAAAAAAGTACATAGTTTTCTCTTTCAGTTTTCTACTTTTAATAGTCACAGGTACAAGAAACATTTCGCTTTCTTGCTTGCTCTGCCATCATCCTACACATGCGTACACATAAGACACAGGGTGCTGAGATGGCAGTGGACACTCTTCCCAGCTGGGCACTGTGGAGGTAATGCTGGCAACTGTGGCAAACCGGAGCGCTCAGGCCTCTGGAAAGAAGGCCACCTCCACCCACCACCCCTGTGAGGCTGAGGGTTTACTTGGCAAGAATGAGGGTCTGGAATTGTCATATCTCTATTTGTTTTCCAATAACATCTAGATAAATATTGGCATCTCGTGCAGTCTCTCCACTTTTCAACGTTTATGACTATTGTGAAACACCATACAGGCCAGCACCGTGTGAACCTGCAGCTCCTACACTCCATAGAGAAACAGACACAAATCACTAGACTTAGGCTCCATTTCATCATCCACAGGCATGACGTGCTGCTGTGGACAGGCCGTGGGCTTGGTACTTGATGTGCATGAGTTACTGTACCACAGGATGGGCTGTCACACAGTCATGCCCAGAGGACCCAGGGCTGTGGCGGCACAGTGCTGCTGCCACAAGGACTAGAAACCAGGATGACCTTCTACCTGCCCAAGAACTCAGCCCCTAAACCAGCTGCTTTCTTTCCTTTACACTGAGCTCTGCCCAGAGCCTGATGTGTCGCTTCACTCACCAAACCCTTGTCTGTCCACTCACCCACCCACACATCCATCTACCCATCCACTCATCCACATATTAGCCATCCACTCACCCACCTGCCCACCCACTCACCAGCCACCTACGTATCCACCCAGCCATCCATATCCACCCACCCATCCACCCACCCACCCATCCATCCACATCCACTCATCCACATATTAACCCATCCACTCACCCACCTGCCCACCCACCCAGCCACCTACTTATCTACCCATCCATCTATACCCAGCCACCCATTCACCCATCCACCCATTCACCCATCCACCCATTCACCCAGCCACCCATTCACCCAGCCACCCATTCACCCAGCCACCCATTCACCCATCCACGCCACCCACCCACTGTCCACTCATTCCTGCATTCATTCTAGGCCATGATCTTTACCGGGCTCTGGAGCTGCAGCGGAGAGTCTGTAGCTGGCCTGAGTGTGAGGAGGGTGTAGAGG